CTTAATTTTAATATATCAATCATTTCCCTTAGTATTAGTGTTTTCTTATATCTTAAGAAATTCTTACTACTCCTGAAATTTTGTTATGGAACTTCAGCATTATTTCTTCTGTAAGTGTCCAGGAGAATTCATCAGTAAAGTCATTCAGGGCTGGAATTTTCTTTGTGGAAGAGCTTTTAAATATAGATCCAGCTAGGTCCAGTGGTCAATGCCTATAATCCCAGAACTTTGGGAGGCAGAGGTGAGAAGACTGCCTGAGCCCAGGAATTCAAGACCAGCCTGGGCAACTTGGCAAGACCAACTTGTCTATACAGTAAGTTAAAGAAATTAGTCTGGTGTCTCAAGCATGCAATCCTAGCACTTTGGGAGGCTGAGGTGTGGGGACTGCCTGAGCCCACGGCTCGAGAACAGCCTGGGCAACTTGGCGAGACCTCATCTCTACAATAAATCAAAAAAGTAGCCGGGCGTGGTAGCACGCGCCTGTAGTTCCAGCTACTTGGAAGGCTGAGGCAGAAGGATGGCTGGAACCCAGCAGGCCGATGCTGGGGTGGCTGTCAGCGTGCCACTGCACTCCAGCCTGGGAGACAGTGATTCTAACCAAAAAAAAAAATTAGCTGGGTGTGTTGTGTGCACCTGTAGCTCCAGCTACTTGGAAGATTAACGTACAAAGATTGCCTGAGCCCAGGAGGTAGAGACTGCGGTGGCCGTGACTGTGCCACTGCACTCCAGCTTGGATGACAGAGATTCCAATTCAATAAATTAACACAGATTCAATTTCTTTAATAGTTATAGGACTACTAAATTTTCCTTCTTGTTATGGTTTTGTTTTGGTAAGTTGTGCCTTTTCTGTGAATTTGTGTATTTCACTTACATTTTAGCTATTCAAAGTGTCTTAATATCTCTTTAGTGACCTCACAACCATAATCCTTTTTCAATCCTGACATTAGTAAGTTCTGCCATTTTTCTTATTTCCTTGATCATTCTCACCAATGGTTTACCAATTTTATTAGTCTTTCAAATAACTCTTTGCAAGTTATATATTTAATTTTTGCTATTAATTATTGCTTCCTTCTATTAATTTGGGTTTAATTTGCTGTTGTTATTCTGGTTTATTAAGAAGAATGCTTCTAATTTTTAACCTAATTTTCAATCTTTCTTCTTTTGTAATGTACATACTTAAGGCTATAAACTTCCTTTTAAGTATGGTCTTAATCATACTCAAAAGGTTTTGATATTCACATTTTCATTCAAAATAATTTCTACTCTCCACTGGGTTATTTAGAAGTACATTTCGTACCTTCCAAATTTCATAATTCTTGTTATTTAGTTCTGATGCAAAGAGCCTTCTGTCTGATTTAAACCCTCTGAAATTTACTGATTTTCTTTATAGTTTAACATATAGTCAACTTTGATAAATGCTCCATGTTCACTTGCAATTAACATATATATATTTCTATTATATAGGCCCTTTAGATAAAGTTTGTTCTTTGTGTAGTTCTGATCTCCTATACTCTTCTGATTTGGTGGTGGGGAGTGGAGGTATCTACTTTTATCATTTACTGAGAAAACTGTATTAAAAATTTACATATAGACTTCTGCTTTTGGTTAAGAACACATGACACTTTACCCTTCTGTCTGAAAAAATTAAAAACTGGAAAATATATAAGACAATGTCCTTTAAGACACTGGACATCACACACTGAAGAACGGTAATTGCTGAGAGAACAAGAAACAAAAGAGGTGAGCCTGCCATTGTCCTCATTAATTGCCTGAAGAAAATTTCCAGGCCACAGCATGCGGAAGAGAAAACCTAGACCAGAGCCCAATTTTATGAGCTGAAGATAAGGAGACAGACATGGGAGTCCAGAGAGGCTAAGTGGCTAGAGTTCAACCTTCCATAAACTCTTCCAGAGAGCAAACAAATTCCAGCTCTTTCCATGAGGATATTTTAACATTAATCCCCAAATCTGACAAGGGTATGACAAGAAAGGAACATTATAGGCCATCTTCTCTCTTAAACACAGATGCAAAAACCCTAAGTAAAATATTGCAAAATAAGACTAGAGATATACAGAAAACAATATGATTAAATGAGATTCTTCTAGTAAGTTGGAGGACAGGCGGGGGAGCAGGGGTGAACGGTGGGGGGGGGCAACACTGTGACATCTATCATTACTTCATCAGAATAAGAAATATGAGAAAAATAATTTGTTCATCTCAAATTCAAGAAAAGCATTTGAAGAAATTCAACACCATAAACCCTCTTAGCAAACTGTAAATAAAAACTTAATTAAACTCATAAATACCAGAAAAATTCTACAGCAATCCCCATGCTCAGTAGTGACATTGAATACCTCCCCACCTCCAAGATCAAGAACAAAGAAAGGAAGTAGTCCACTCTGACCACTTTTATTTAACATTGTGCTGGACACTGTGGCCAGTGCAATATGGCAAGAAAAGAAGTAAAATGCAAAATGATTGGAAACATACAAAAGCCATTTTGGTAGGAATATGCAAAAAAAATTCAAAGAGAATTCACAGATTGTTAGCATTAATAACTGAATTGAGCAGGTTGCTGGATACAAGGTCATTATAAAAAGCAATTGTACTTCAGTATCATAGCAACAAATAGTAAACAAAAGACCTAAATAGATACTTCACAAAAGTTTCCAAACGGCCAATCCGTATTTGAAAAGATGTTTAGCATTAATACTCATTACTAAAATTAAAACAATAAGACACCAGTATGCACTTATCAGAATGTCTGAATGAGAAAAACAATAGGCTGCCTAGGTGCTCTTGAGGCCTCTGGGAAAGCCAGTTCTCTTAGCTTTATCAAATGCTTTTTGGGGTGAAGGGGATTGGAGGAGGGTTCTTGAGGTATGTGTCTGGACCACCACATCCCTCCCTTAACTGCAGGGACTGGGCCCACATCAGACAAATATAGTAACCTGCATTTGTTTCCTAAAGCGGCTGTAACAAATTACAACGGATTGGATTGCTTAAGACCCACAGAAATTTATTATCATATGGTCCTGCAGGTCAAGTCCAAAATCAAGATGTTGGTAGGGGACTGTTTCCTCTTGAGGCTCTAGGAGAGAATCCTTCCTTGTGTAGTCCAGCTCTTGTTAGCTTTCGGCATTACTTGGCTTGTGGCTACATCTCTCTCTGTCATCTTCATGTTGCCTTCTCAGTGTTTGTTATCTTCCTTCCTTTGCTTTTTTTTGAGTCAGAGTCTCATTCTGTCACCTAGGCTAGAGTGCAGGGGCACAATCATGACTACTGCAGCCTTGACCTGCTGGGCCTTTCAAGCAGCTGAGACTACAGGTACATGACACCACACCTGGCTAGTTTTTTATTGTAGAGATGAGGTCTTGCCATGTTGCCCAGTCTGGTCTTGAACTCCTGGGCTTTGATAATCCATTCACCTTGGCCTCCTAAAGTGCTGGGATTATAGGCATGAGCCGTGACTGGCCTGCCTCTCTTTTATAAGGACAATTGTGATGGCATTTGTTTAGCTCCCACTCAGATCATCTAAAGTAACTCATCCCAAAAGGCTTAAATTAATTACATCTGCAATGAACCTTTCCCCAAATAAACTAACATATACAAGTTTCAGGGATTAGGAGTAGTTACATTATTCAACCTACTACACTTGTGTTTAATTCATCTTCTAAATAAAGAAATGAAATGGTGAGACTGTGGAGAAATTGTCAGGGCACATAACTGTTCAGGAAAACCCGGTGTATGTGCTGGGAGGTGATGAACTGAGAGATTTTACAAAGGAGTGCTAAATCAGAATTTCCTTCTTCTTTTGCCAGGGTTCTGGGATCTAATCCCATAAAAGAAATACATATTTACATATACTGTCCAAAGGAGTGGGCAGGAAGTCATGCTGTGGTAGACCCAGCTAGCTGCCTGTTTGATTCTTTCTTTTTTTTATTTTTATTAATCAATATATATATATATATATTTTTGAGTTGGAGTCTCACTCTCGCTCAGACTGGAGTGCAGTGGCCGCTCCTGGCCACCGCAGCCTCGACCTGCTGGGCTCTGGTGATCCTTCTGCCTCAGCCTTCCGAGTAGCCGGAATTACAGGCGCACGCTACCACGCCCGGCTGATTTTTTGATTTATTGTAGAGATGAGGTCTCGCCACCCAGGCGGGTCTCGAACCCGCGGGCTCAGGCAATCCACTCACCTCAGCCTCCCAAAGGCGTGGGATTACAGGCTGGCTCACTGAGCCACTGAGCCCGGCTTAATCAATATTTTTTATTATGGTTTTGTGGGGTACAGTTAAGGGTTAGGTGTACAATTATGTTTCATTCAGGCACCCTGTTGATAAGAGGTGTTTTCCCAGCCCCAGACAGATATTTGCTACTGTTAATCCCATCCTCCCCTGATTCTTTCTTCATGGAAAAATCCTAATTGTGTTAGGGATATCAATCATTCAGATAAAACAGATCATTTTCACGGTTCTCTTGCAGTTACTGATCATGCAACACAGTTCTGACTAATGGCATGTTAAGTAGAAATATGCAAGTGGAGTTTCTGGAAAAGCTACTGTGTCTCATTTACACCTTTTCCCCTAAGCCTTTCCTTCTTCCTTCCTGAAATACTGAGATGATGCTTGAGATGTAAATGTTAGCTACCTCAACCCCCACCCATGCCTTAACAGCATTGTGGAGTTACTGTATCAGTCCTGAACAGTTTGCCTATAGAGTTTTCTGTTATAAGAAAAAAAGAAAAGTAAAAAGCCCCAGTGGGGTTTAAGACACTGTTATTTGGTTTGCAACCCAACACAATTTGTTTAAATCTAAGCAATAGCTAGGTGTTTCAGATTCTACATGTTTAACAATAATTGGAAAACTACAATTTTTCTGGATACTTAAAAAGAAAATCAGGCCTTCACACTAACAGGAGTCCCAGACTGGGACTCCAAAGCGACCAGGTTGTAATTAATCCATCTGCTCCATACCTTCACAATAAAGTGCAGAAAAGGTTAATGTAGATTCTTTATTGATTCCACCAACGTATTAGTAGATATGATAATAATAAATGGTTCTTTTACATTCTCTTAACCAAAAATATAACAAATATTTACATTCAGTAAAAATACAAAAAGCATACAGAGGCACTGTCTTTCTAAAAGACATAAGTTTAAGAGGTATCAAAAAATAGGAGACAAACATTGCTTGTTATAGAATACCTTACAATCAATGAATTGTGCAGTATAATTGCTATTTGATTATTATAACTGTGCAGTTTTGTTTCTGTCTTTTGCTGATAAGCTTACACGTTTCAATTTTAAAAGATAAGTACAACTGCATTTCTGTGTATCAAAAATAAGGAAGCCTTAAAAATGCACAACAAAAGCTAAAGATGAACTGGGTTCAAGTTTAAATTTCAAAGTGTACTGTGACACTTTTCTAAAGATGTATCCCTTTATTCTAGCCTTTAGCGTAATGATAAAGGAATACATATACTTTAACATTGCAGTTTTTTGAAACTTAAAATTATATCAGAATTAACAATCACTGTTTTAAGGAAACTTTCTCTCCCCTTTTTTTGTAGAGAAAAGAACACATATAATAAATTAGGTTTGTTCTTGGAAAGCCCTGTGACTACCCTCACATTTTCAGTCTGGGAAAGATTCTCATGGAGGTGATAGAGATGATGATGTGACTTATCACCCTTGTGAAAATTCACCAAAGGCGTTTTCTAAAGATCACATTGCAAATTATCATCTGGAGTAAGTGAGAATCTATTAATGATAATAAACTTGTAGGAAAGCATGCATTGGATTTACTAACTATCCAAATGTTTCATTATGAAGAGATTTTGTTAAAACTTACTATTTGGCAAAAGTTTGCACTGTGGGTTTACTGCTTCAACAGTCTTGTCAGATTTCAAGTTGTGGTGAGAAGAAAGAACACAAGTCTCTTCATTAAAATGATACATTAATAAAATAAAAACCAAAACAAATGGGAATTTGGAATTGGAGCAAATACAGGTTAAAGCTTCTCTTGTTCTGTAAGATGACAAACTAAGAGAAGATAGGAATGTACCTTAAATTAAAATATAAAAATCAAAACCTCATTTTTTTAAGGGATACATACATACATACATATCAAACTACAAAGCAATTGGCTTTACTTCCTGATCAATGTGATCAGCTGATCCAAGTACTCACAGTCAAAGCTAGATTAAAAGAAACAAAAAAAGGCAGCTACATGGTGCAAGTCCAAAACCATAGGCCTTAACTCTCTGTTCAAATTATTATTTATACCATTAAGAAGGCTGACAGGTAAGGCTTCCATTGGGTTTCAAAGACCTGCTAAATAAAGACACTGTGCAAATGGCATATTTTTCTGGAATAAAGGATACAAAATGGTGAGATACTCAAACTTGATAAAGAGATGGGTACAGCAAAAATATCTTTCATTTTGTTTTGCTGTGGACATAAAAATGGTATTATATAATTCGATGAAGAAAAAAATTTATAATCAGAGGACTACTGTTCAAAGGCGAAATCACTACAGTGTGACTTTCAAACCAGAATTTCAGGTTACTTTCTATTTCAAGGAACCAAGAGAGCTATGCTTCACCAAGTTTCATTTAACAGACCTGGGTTTAATTTCTAAGAGTTACATTTTAGATTAATGTTTTTCAGACATGCAATTTTTCCTAAAATGAAGAGATTATCATTTTGATGTGAAAGATGAACTACCATTTATCAACTGAGACTGATTTATGATCTTAAAATGAAGAGAACAAGTAGAGGGAAGAGACAGCCAGGGAAAGAGAACAAACTCCTACAAAGGAAGTCACAAACCAATGAAATCTTACATGGACACATGTGGACAGTTATTCAGAAGTAAACCCATTTTGGCCCCAAGTTGATCTGGGAGTGCACATTAATGGCTTTGGCTTTTTTTTTCTTTTGGTAATCACAGATGTTTATTAACATCTCATTTGCCTTTACACTTAAAAAAAATTAAACTTACTATACAGAAAACATATTTAATTTGTAAAATGTGAAAAATATACCTCATCCAGTGAACACCGAAATTTTAATTACTTAAGAGTGTCATGTCCATGAGATCAGAAAGGTATGCTCTCTCAAGGGCTAAATTGAAAACCAAGAGACAACCATTTCTATAATTCTAGCTCCTCTTTCTCCCACAAAATTTTACTGCAGGCAATTGAGAGTTGCAGGGTTTATCAAATCAGACACAGCCTGGTGCTATGAGATGTGGGGTGGTTTGTTGCAGAACACTGCATAAACTCAAATTCATCTTCATGATTGCAACACCTATGATTATACTTCCTTTTAAAAAAGTACTCCATACTTGAACTGTAAGAAATCTTATTTTGGGTTTCTATAGAACTCTTTAGAACCCTCTTTTCTACTTAGTGGCTCTATACTTTTAGTTACAATTAGATGCAGCATAACTTTCACTTCAGAAAAAATGTGTATATATGTCATTTAACATCAAAATTTCATTCTTTGGAAATTAGGGCTCCCACCCTCCCCAAACTACCCCCTCCTCCCCTAGATAACAAGAAACCTTGTCGCAGCTTCATCTGGCCTTCCACACCGTGACCGGTCGGCTCCTAACACCTCAACTTCAAAGGGCTTTCTATTTCTCTCAAACTGAGACCCACGTTGCACTGGTGCTACAGATCAAGCAATATCTCTGTATAAATCAAGCATATCATCTCTCTAACGATGACTTCTGCTTGATCAGACCAGAGATAGTTTTATGACTTCAAACAAAAACATTAGTAACAAGGGCTCCCAAATACAAACAAAACCACAATAATTCAAATAATAAATTACTTTTCAAATACACGAGAATATCCTTGATATTGGCAGACATTTGTAATTTGTCCTTTAGCCCAAGCTATGTCTTGGAAATAATAATTCCACTATCTTTAAAATAACTTGTTAAAGGAAAAGCTATAGTGATACACATGGGGATGACTCTGAGTATAAACTTTTTCTGTAACTATGGTTTCAAGGCAAATCTGGTGTGCAAAGTGGAGACTGTTATCCAGGTACAGCATCCACACAGCTGAGGAAATGATTCATCTGTAGAAATTAAATAAAAGGAAGCATGAATTAGGTCTATCATTGCTCAGAGTACAGGTAAGGAGACCTCTGGGTTAGTAGCAGCAGTGAGCTGTTTGCTGGCAATGGCTTGCAGAATCCTGAGGTGCTTCTCATCACTCCTCCATGGCTTTCAGTAATCTTCAAATGAGTCACCCAAGGTTAGACTGCTGAAACTTGTTCATTTTCTGAAAAAATAAAAAAATATGATTAATTTGTAGATCAGTTTTTAAAAAGAAATATAACATTCTAGTTAACTGTTTAGAAAATTAGTCAATTGCAAAGAAATCCTCTCAAAACATCACATCGAGTCCCATATTTTATTGAAATGATATTTATGATTTCTGATCACAGTGAAGTTTGACAATACAGTAAAATTTCATAATTTTTAAAAATTTAATTTAACTTTAAAGATGTGGGGTGCAAGGCAGGATTGTGTACATAAGTGGTTTAGGTACAGGTGAAGTTTTGGGCCTCCCACTGGACCTCCTTCACCAAAAACGTCATAGTTCTAAATCACTTTATTATTCTTGTTTAGGAGGACAAAACTTCATTTATTTTCAGTAAAGCAAACCATCTTTCAAACTATTGGCACAGCTACAAAGTCCATCAAGAGTTTTGCTAATAGGAGGAACTATACAAATGGCATTTCAGATAATTTGGCATTTGAAATGTGATTTCAAGTTTCCATGCATGAATGTAAAACACAACTCCCTTAATGTCAAGTGCTTCCTCTCAAAATTATCCTATTAGACTGAACTGCTATTTTATGAAAAATAAGAATACATTAGGAGAAGCATACTGGGCACACAGGAAATAGCAGCTGGCCATTTTCATTTAAAAAACACACTGTCATACTTAGGCATTTCTTATTTTATTTTATTTTTTGAGTTGGAGTCTCACTCTGTCACCCAGACTGGAGTGCAGTGGCCGCTCCCGGCCACCGCAGCCTCGACCTGCTGGGCTCCGGCGATCCTTCCGCCTCAGCCTTCCGAGTAGCTGGAATTACAGGCATGCGCTACCAAGCCCGGCTGATTTTTTGATTTATTGTAGAGATGAGGTCTTGCTGCCCAGGCGGGTCTCGAACCCGCGGGCTCAGGCAATCCCCTCACCTCAGCCTCCCAAAGGCACGGGATTACAGGCTGAGCCACCAAGCCCGGCTTTTTTCTTATTTTTTAACAAGAGATTTTTAAGGCATTTAAAGAACCATTACTAATTACCATAAAATACGAGTGTAAAGACCATTTCATGTGTTCAGCAATTTATTTAAGAGCCATTAAGGTAGTGTGTCAACATACCATCTGCTTCACTATCTGCATCAGTCACATCTGCTAGCTTAGGATGGGATGGCTGCAAATTATGCCTCTGAGGCTGAGTTAGAATCTTCGATGGAACACAGGTCACAGGGTTGCTACTGAGAGAAGCTGGTGGTAGTCTAGAGAGGTTTTTATGCATCATCTTTGACCTCTGCACTGCCACGCTATAATCTGGAGGTTTTAGGTGCGGGTGGGGTCCTTCCTTTAGGTCCGCTAAAGAAATTCCCATATATCCTGGAGGAGTGGGAGGTGGCTCCCTATACCTATCATCCTTCTTGGGTGAGGTGACACAGTACACTGGCATGAAAAATAAGCAATGAAAATGTTAATGAAAAATAAAAACACTGAATCTTATTACAATGACAAAATAGAACTAAAAACAGACAAAAATGATTAAATTTGAATGACAGCAGATTTAAAACATTTTTTAAAAGCTGAACTTAATATTTAAACCTGTTTTTAAAATACATAACTACATTAAATTTTATAAACATTAAGTAGAACGGGAGAGCTGAAGGAGATGACACTGATGACAAGCTTCATTCTGCAGTTCAGTCCTCATATCACAGACACTGTGACAACAATTGAAATGACACTAGTCCTAAAGATGACTGAGTCAGAAACATTTACAAGTTCCCCCTAAACATATATTCCCTGTTAATTGGGAGAGTGTACACAGACATGATGTTAGGGCCATTTAAGGGCTGTTTCACTCCCTCGCTGAGACATGAACCAGTTTTTTGCACTCCTGAGCAGACTAGTATTAGTCCTGGCACATAGGCAACTTTAACTTTCCTGGTATACAGGAACTAATTCCTTCAAGATTCTTACTTCTAACTTCTGCTTTATGATTAAGCTGAGAAGAAAAAAAGCATAATTTTAGGAAATTCGTCTTAAATCTAATTTTCAGTGTACTTTAAAAATAATGCTGACTTTAAATCCTCTTACCTAAAGTTGTAAGCCCTGAGACTAAGGCAAAGCTTCAAAAAGCCTCAGAAATAGGTTAAAAAGGAAGCTCTGTGAAATTAACACCAGTTCACAGGATCTGCAGGGCAAATGGCTCTGAGTATCTTGATCATGCATGTGACTTTTAAAACATAAAACTACCTATTTACAAGCAGAATACATTTAAAATGATCATTAAATAATTCTAACATTAAATCTCCCATTAGAGAATTTGATTTGTTCATATTGAAATTTGTATAATTCTACCAGTAAAATCCGCATGTACTATAAAGGTCAGAAAAGACTTCCACTCCTCCCATATGAGGATAAGCTGGGCAGGGTGATAAAGGTAGGACGGTTGTCAAGAGAAGATGACAAGAATGAAGAATGTAAGTGATTTGCTCAGAGTCACTCAGAAATGAAAGACTTTTAAGAGCTTTTTAACAGTCCCAGACAAGAGAAAGACTTTTATATCCTTGTACACATATGCTTATAGATCCCTAAAGTGGTTACCTAAAAAGCTTTAATATGATTTTAAAAAATCCTTGGAGCTGGGCTCAGTGGCTCAGCCTGTAATCTCAGCGCTTTGGGAAGCTGAGGTCAGTGGATTGCCTGAGCCCGCGGGTTTGAGACCCGCCTGGGCAACTTGGGGAGACCTCATCTCTACAATAAATAAAAAATTAGCCGGGAGTGGCCACTGCACTCCAGTCTGGGTGACAGAGTGAGACTCCAACTCAAAAAAAAAAAATTAAAAAAGAAAAAAAAAAATCCTTGGGGAAAAAAAATGAATGACTTAACAACTCAATCTATAATGAAATTTGACAAGTAACTATAAAATCAGCACACTTCCCTTTCACAATTTTAGTAAATTAAATGTGATATGAATATTCTATAGAATTAAGAGTTAATTAAAACAATGTTGATTCAAAATACAGTCATTCCACATAGGTAGAAAAGCAGGGACTATTATATCCAAGCATTTATACAATTCAGAAATGAAATTTAAAAAAAATACTTGGTGGCTAAATACTAAAAGAATACACTAAGAAAGCTTAGAATGGAATTCACAAACAAGAGTTGGTACACTCATGATGTGTACCAAGAGGGTATACTGAAAAAATGTTTTGAACTTTTAATCACACTTTCTCACATTTTTACTACCTAAAATTAGTAGCAGATTTAATGTTTCTACCACATATACATGACAATCATGGTCTGAACGATTTGTAAGGTGACAGAGAAGAATCTATTACTATTCCAAATTAATGCAATGATATTTCTCAACGAAACTATAAAGATCTTAAACAAAACAAACTTGTCACTTTAATTAAATATTTTCACACTAGACTTTTCATTTAAGGTTTGAAAGGGAATAAAGGTTGTAGTGAGATAACGAATTTTTGCAATAATAAAACCCTGGGCTAAGATATCCCAATGCCATTTTTTTCACCAATCTATAAATGCCAAAAGATATATCAGAAACACACAACTTACCAATCAAGCCCTTTTCTGTACTTGAAGTGATAGTTTTATAAACTGGGTCAGTGGCATCCTTGGGGTACGTGCCCTCAGATGCCTCACCTGGGGTGTTCTCCAATACTCTCCGTTTAACTGTCCCATAGTTTGGTTCATATGTGTCAGACAGAGAACTGGAGGAGGCCCAACTCTGTCTCAACTGATTGGTCTCTAGGTTTCCTTTACACTGACCACAAGTTCTAGAGCAGCCTTTAGGACAGGAATAGGGCTCACAGTCAGTGGGCTCCACTTCAGCAATGGGGTCATCCACATGGGTATGTCTGTAAGAATTCAAGAAATCCCAGCTTTTTGGATTTGGAAGGCTTTGGAAGTTGTCATGGGAGCTGCTTGAACAGGAAGTCCAACTTCCACGACCACTATCAGCTGCTTCTATAATGATATGCTCATGAGAAATCTCTTCATTGCTCATAGAAGACGAGACAGCTAAACCCTTGATTAGAGATGGCTTTGAGAGTGTCCACCTAAAATTGGAGATAATACACAATTAAAAGTCATTTACAAAAAAAACTGTCTTCTTTGTTTCAAGTTATTATTGTCTGTAAGAAACTGCACAACATGCACCACAAGTGCTCAGGTCAGAAGAACCCTGTGAAAAAAAATGACACTATCATTAGATCACCACTAAACTCCTTATTAGTATTAATGTTAATACTCAGTTAGAAACACAACCTAAAATGCTTAGCAAGGTTTCCTCAGAATATTTCTTTTTAAGTATCGTAAGTCCCCTATATACAAACAAGTTGTGAACTTTCAAAGTCCAATCACATAAGTTAGTTCATGTTTCTGGTGAACATTGTAATGTGCATGCATCCTCTACAAGTGGCTGTGCTTTTGTGAACTTTGTTGTACAGTATAGGGTACAGTACCTTTATTTGAAGCCCAGGATGTACAGAAGCAAGTGTAAAAGCAGTGGTATCACAGTTGGTACTGTACAGTTGATTGTGTTAGTTGGGTAACTTGGCTAACTTTGTTGGATTTATGAACAAATTAGAATTACAAACACACTCTTAGAACGGAACTTGTTCTCATATGTAGGGGACTTTGTAATTACTATTATTATTATTGAGATGGGGGTCTCACTATGTTGCCCAGGCTGGAGAGAAGTGGCTGTTCACAGGCATAATCACAGCACAACAACCTCAAACTTATGGGCTCAAGTGGTCTTTCCATTCAGCCTCCTCAGTAGCTGGGACTCTAGGTGCTTGACAATGTGACTAGCAAGAATTTTCTTGAATTGATTTTAAATGAAAATGTAAAGAGGTTTGAAATGAATAAAACATACATTTTCATCATCAGGCAACATAAAATTTCCAACTTGAGGATTCATGTTTTGTTTTTCAATGTGCCTTTGAGGTTAGCCTAGTACAGTGCCAGGTAAATAGCAATCCTCCAAGTAAATCAATCATTTATAATTTAGGTCCCCAAATTAAGGCTCATGGGTCAAATCTAGCCACTAGCCCATTTTATTTATATGGCCTGGAGCAAAGAATGGTTTTAAAATTTTACAATGTTTATTTTTTTAACTTTGAATTTTTGTATTTTAAAACTGTACAATTCAGGGTTAGGTATACAAGTGTTCATTATGCAGGTCAATGTTTAAACAAAAGAAAACTCAAAGGATTTGTGACAGAGACCATATGCAGCCTGCGAAGGTTAAAATATTTACTATCTGGCCCTCACAAAGGAAGCTTGTGAACTCTTCATTTACAGTATAGAGGAGGGGTTAGCAAATAGCCAAAGGTCAAACTGGTCTTTTGTAAATAAAATTTTATTGGGAAACAGCTATGCCCATTTGCTTATGTATTGTCTATGGCTGCTCTGGTTTAACAACTGCAGAACAGTGGGATAAAGACTTTATGTGAAGTCTAAAGTATTTATTATGTAACCTACATAAAAAGGTTTGCTGACCTCTGGTCTAGAAAACCAGTTCAGAAGCCTTTATAAGTAGGATAATACTTTACTATATCTTAAACTTTTCATATTAAAGTAGACCAGATTTAACAATATTTATCAGTTTAGAATTAACTTTCTCAATACTCTCTCAAAGAGTTATTTGCTTTATTCTAAATAGAAATTTAGAGTTAAAAAGTTCTGAAATGTAACCTTTGCTAGGTGATTATTCTTACTTAACAAATTACACTTTCAGAGAGGATTAGGAAGTAGTTCTACTCTAAGCAGGGGGTGGTGGCTCATGTTTGTAAATCCCAGCACTTTGGGAGGCAGAGGCAAGAGGATTGCTTGAACCCAGGGATTTGAGACCAGCCTGGGCAACTTAGCAAGACCTCGCTTCTACATTAAACAAACAAACAAACAAAAAATTAGTCTTGTGTGGCAGTGTGCGCCCGTAGTCCCAGCTACTTGGAAGGCCAAGGCTAGTCAAGGCTGTGGGAAGCCCAGCTAGTCAAGGCTGTGGTGGCCATGAGTGCTGCCACTGCACTTAAGCCTGGGCAACAGAGTGAGACTCCAACTCAAAAAAAAAACAAAAACTGGTCCTACTCTCCCAATCTATCCTGGCACTGAGGGTACTTTCTATTACACAAACTTTTTGATCAATCTCTAAACTTAACAGCTAGAATTTCAAGAACCACCGCCCCATATCCGAAGCAGGTGTACTTTGAGTTTTTACTGTTTGAAAAGATACATAATGCTAGAAAGTTACTTGAATTTAATAATACTTTAAAATGAGCACCAGTACATCTTTCAAAATAGTAATTATTTACATCTTCAGCAAAAATGTGCTTGGCTCTCATATTCTTTTAATACCCTTGCAACTGCCTAACGAGGGAGGGGTCCAAGGTCAAGTTGGGGAATACTACTTGCAGTGGTCAGTTGGCTTGAGTTTTGTGATATGAACACACAAGGATGTTTACCCAGGGCCATGTTGACTGTGGTCTCCTATCCCTGAGGGATAATCAGTCTTTTCCAGCATGCCAGTAGATTCCGGGACTGACAGGACTTGGGAAGAACACCGTTCATCCTGTAGAGCTGCAGACATTGAGTCAACAGAACAATTGCTCACAATGCTGGACCGTGAAGAAATCTCACTATGGCTGGAGTCAGATAAGTTGTCAGATTTAGCTGATGGTATGAGTGTATAACCTGAATGAGAAAGGAACACTGATTAAACTACCAAAAAGGGAACAGGTAGAGGGGCAGTCAAGGAAAGGATGAAAGATGCACAAAAGTAACAAAAGACAAAGAAGCAGTCATCTCAGTTTCCATCCATGTAGATATGATGGTGTCAGTTTTCCCCACATTCCCTACATAGACACTCATCTGCCTACCCACACCACACACATCCAACTCCAAATTTAAGGAAAAGACAGTCAAAATTCAGTACTACTGAAAAAACTAGTTTACAAGTATATCTGCCCCAGGCTCTCTCACAGCTACAAACATGTAATAAAACAAGAAGGCAATAAATACATTACAAACATTAAAAAGTAGATGTCTTAGAATTTCTCAATTTCTTTTAAATCCTATACCCTTTCCTCCTTTTGATTAAAATCAGTATTTCATGATGACTGACCTGAACCCAAAATACCACCTTGAAGTAGGAGTGGGGATGGGATTCAGGACTCAAGGGAAAGAACTGCATTTTTGCTTTTTCAAACTACCATATACTTACCCCAGGTATTCTGCTTATGCCACCTAAGAAGTCTTTCCCAAATTGAGAGTCATTGTTTTAGTATTTTAAAATAAATTATTTTAGATTTGGACTTAATCTTATACCTAGTTTCCTCTTTCTTTACCAACTTTGCAGAATATTAAGCAGCTAAACTGATAGATTCTTATGTTATGAAAGAAACCCAGCATGTACATGTTTTAAGCTGTTCTATAACTTACTGCACAGCAGACACAGAGATTTTCTTTTGTATTCTTTGGAATGAAGGGGTGGAATGGAGTGAGGTGAAGGATCCAAAAACAAATGGGCAGCATGATGGTTAATGTACATAATAGTCTATTTTGATAAATGAAAGAAAATAAACCAAATTTTTGTTTAGAAATGAAAGAAAATGGGGCAACTCCCTTGGGTCCCTTCTCACTGTGGGAGCTTTTCTGTCCTCTCAATAAATCTTGCTTTCTAAAAAAAAAAAAAAATGAAAAACAATGCCCCAGTAATCCCAACATGGGCCAGGTTTCAAAGAAGCAAACGGTATTTTCTTGTTCATAGAAGACAGTGAGGTTCAACAAATATATAACCTGTGGACCAATCCCCAGAAATCTCATTAAGAACTATAGGTTTTGGCCGGGCTCAGTGGCTCAGCCTGTAATCCCAGCACTTTGCGAGACCGAGGCAAGTGGATTGCCTGAGCCCGTGGGTTTGAGACCAGTCCGGGCAACTTGGCAAGACCTCATTTCTACAATAAATAAAAAATTAGCCATGCGTGGTAGTGAGCACCTGTAGTTCCGGGTACTTGGAAGGCTGAGGCGAAAGGATCGCGGGAGCCCAGCAGGCGAGGCTGCGGTGGCCGGGAGCGGCCACTGCATTCCAGCCTGGGCAACCGAGTGAGCCTCCAACTCAAAAAAAAAAAAAAAAAGAACTATAGGCTTTGGGTACGTTACTAGAATCTCAGGGCTTAGCTTCTTCATGCATTAAGATGAAGACAACAACCTAAACTCCAAGGTCTCTCTCTTTTATGGATGCTAGAGTTTATTCACATGTAACTCAAATCACTGAAGGAAAAAATGGTTGCACACTAACCTTATTAAGTAGTTTCCTTATTAAAAAAAAAAAAAAAGACCCAGAAAATGTATGATTTATACTAAGGTTAGTGTCCAGGACAGGGTCAACTAAAACAAGACATTCTCCTGACTTCTATTATACATCTCTGAACTTGATCACTGCTATATGTCAGTGCCTATGAGCTGATTAGTTAATTTCAAGGAGACCAAGAAAATGAATGTGGTAAATAAAGTAAATAAAAAACCTTCTTTCTCAAAAGAAATAATCACTGTTCTATGGAACAGAACTTACTCACTGTTTTAAAAATAACTTCAGTCAGGTGTGGCGGCTTATACCTGTAACGCCAATAACTTTGAGACCGAGGTGAGAGGATTGCTTGAGGCTAGGAATTTAAGAAAAGCCTGGGCAACACAGAGACTATGCCCCCTCTCACCCCTCCACCCCCCGCCAAAAAAAAAAGAAAAAAAAAATCAAGGTAGGTGATATAAACTTGAGTCCCAGATACTCAGGAGGCTGGAGTGAGAGGATTGCTTGAACCCAGGAGTTCAAGGCTATAATTAGCCATGACCCCACCACTGCACTCCAGCCTGGGTGACAGAGCAACACCTTGCCTCAAAAAATAAGCATTTAAAATTAAAAAAAAATCATCCTTATGTCTGTTAAGACTAGTAATTTTCTAATATAATCAAATCTCAGAGCCACCTGGCAAGCTAATTAAAATATATCTTCCTGGTTCACTTTCTGGTAATTCAAATTTATGAGGTCTGGGGTGCATTTTTAACAAATTTCCCAGATGATTTTAAACTTGGTATGTTAGACTAGCTCCTCCTCCCTCAATCAAAGATATGTGAAAAGTACATGATATAAAAAACGTATACGTACAAGATGGTTTCTTGCCTCCTGAACACTTTTTTTCCCTTTAGTGTGTAACATAGTTGAAGTACTAAGATAGCAATAAAATTCTCTGAAGCAGCCAGGCTCGGTGGCTCAGTCTGTAATCCCAGCACTTTGGGAGGCTGAGGTGAGTAGATTGCCGGAGCCTGCGGGTTCGGGACCCACCTGAGCAACTTGGCGAAATCTCATCTCTACAATAAATCAAAAAATCAGCACGCCTGTAATTCCGGCTATTCGGAAGGCTGAGGCGGAAGGATCACCGGAGCCCAGCTCCCGGCCACCGCACTCCAGTCTGGGGGACAGAGTGAGACTCTAACTCAAAAAAAAAAAAAATTCTCTGAAGCAAAAGTTCTGATCAGATTATTATTGGGGGTTTTATGGTGAAAGTGAACACTGGGTTCCTAAAAAGCCCCCTCTACTTATTTCACTCACAGACCCAGCTACTACCATAGGAAATAAAGTCAACTACAGAAAATAAGCATATAAAGTTTACTAACTCAATACATTAGTAACATAACATATGTACAAATAAGGCACTTTAAATCAGTATTATTTTGTTGCTAGAGGATCTGTAATACTAATTATAAAATGCTTATAAGGAACTTCATCAGAGTGTCTTCCTCCTTTTAGACTTGAATCCCATATAGAAGCAGTTTTAGCGTTACTGTTGCCTTGGCTATTTGAATTGAAGATGGCACTCCCTTTCTCATCTTTGATGTTGCTCCCAACATCCTTCACTTTCTCACAGCTTTCTGTAGCTTGATTGTGATCTGTGTCCTCTTTTTTGCAGTTGACTAGTCTCTCCCTTGAAGAGTTCTTTCCCTAAATCTTCTAAACAGGGATGTCATTCTTTTTCTGGCTGTGTTCTCATAACTTGTCCTGTCTCTATTCTCCTCAGTGGCCTTCTCCATCCTGTCTGTTCTTTTGGCTGTGCTCCTGGTAATCTGAAGGATTTTCTTTTGCAAGTAAACCCCACCTATTCCGGGGTAGTTCTGGCCACTGATCTTGGTGCTGGACTCACGGGGAGGGGATGAGGAAGACCCTGAGAGGTGCAGCACGTTGCTGTGATCAGATATGATACTGCCAACTGGAGGGAGAGATGCAAAAACCCTGACATGTCAATTAATTCTTTCCAATCAATCACAATAAGGCTGGTTTATATAACATTTCACTATTAAAACATTCTAACATCTTGATAATACTTGAAAAATTGAAGTGTAATAGCATATCTTTTAACGCATGGAAAAGCTATATAGCACAAATACTTTCAGTCATTGCATGACAGAATGTGAAGAAAGATTACCTTGATCAGAAAAAGCCTGGTGATAAAAAAGTGACAAAAGTAAGCCATGCTGGCAAAGTCATAAAGAAAAATATGATGAGAATATCAGGTAATCAGAATTGTTTCTAAGTAACTAAGTATTTCTAGAATTTTAAGGCAGATTTTACTATGAAAAAGCTTAGTAAAAACCAACTAGGACATACAAATAGTATATACAATAGGTGTATTTATAAAGCACACTTTTTGATCCTGTTGTAGCTCCAAGATGGAGAAGCTGCCTTTCTTAAAACTGGAACAGACAGTGCTTAGTCTCTTGAGAACTTGTTTCTAAAATTTCTTTCTTGTTTAAATTCTTTTCATGAAAAACATGAAGATGAGCTTATTTTTTTAATAATTAGAAAACAAAGAACAAATTCTAAAGTTTCACAAGAACTGGGAACAGAGCCTAGTAATGTACTCTTAACACAGTGATAGTTTTGTTCAATCACAGACTACTGGCAAAAACTTGTCTATGGAAATAGAAATATCACTTTTGGTTGGGGTTTTGACAGTACATATGCAAGAACAATTTGAAACAGTTTTGAAGAGAATTTCTTCAGGCAACTGAAGATTTGAAACAGTACTATAGAGACTCAAAAACCTAAACATGATAGTCATTTGTTGGCTATATAATGAAAGACACAAGGGAGAAAAGATTTCTTTATTCCAGGGCTGAATGTAGATTTTCCGTTGGGAGTGGAACAAATGGGAAAAGTCCTGTTCCCAATATTTCTTCCCACAAGTCACAGTCAGGCATATAACACCAAATCAGATCCAACTAACTTTCTATATAGATAACTGTACATAATGGGTTGGACCTCTGAACAGTCTCCAAAAGGGATGAAACACGTAAAGGTGTTTCTGAAAGAGCATTAAGAGCATATGGACATTTCATTTGGACCATCTGTCTAACTAGAGGCATTGCTGTCATTCCTATTCCTCAAGATTTGATAAGGGCAACTTGGACAGGACCATACGGATAGGGAAAGAGATGAAACTGGTCTGTGTGCCTCAAAATTGTATTAGAGCTACAAAAGGATGAGAAGCCTATGTTTCATAAATGTACCTATTATATATACTGTTTTTATGTCCTGTTTCACCTTTATTTAGCTTTCCAGAGTAAAATATGAATGAAAATTCTAGTCAGTCTCAGTTATTTGATAACTGGATAATGGAGCTAAAGTGCCCTGTGGTGGCAGCAGGGAAAAGGGAAGGGACACTTCAATTTACTAAACACTTCAGGCTTTATAAATATTATTTCATTTAAACCTTACTCAAATCTCCTAAAATAGGTAGTCTTTTCTTTCCCATTTTACAGACGGGAAATATGACCTTATAAATAAATTACTACTATGTTATTAATTATAGTGGGAGACAAAATCAGGATTCAAACTCAGGTCTGACATCACCATACACTACTGCCCCCAAATTGGCAAAAATAAGAAAGTCGCTGCAGAGTGGGATGAAATTTAGAACCTGGGAGCTGAGGTAAGCTCTGAAAGCTTCTCCCTCATAGTACAATTCATAAGCTTGTTTTCCCTCTGACCATGTAACATCCTGTCCCTGTGCTGTGATTATTTAAAGAAACAGGTTGGGTATGGTGGTTCACACCTCCAATCTAAGTGTTTTAGAAGGCAGAGGCAAGAGGATTGCCTGAGTCCAGGGATTTGAGACCAACCTGGAAAATTTACTGAGATCTCATCTCTACAATAAATCAAAAAATTAGCTGGGCATACTGGTGAATGCCTGTAGTTCTGGCTACTTGGAAGACTGAGGCAGAAGGATCACCTTAGCCCAGCAGGCTGAGGCTGTGATGGCCATGAGTATGCCACTGTACTCCAGTCTGGGCAACAGAGTCTCAACTCAAAATAAATAAAAAATGAAAAATAAAAAATAAATGAATAAATAAAGATATAATTCTTTTACATCTGTGAAGATGATGCCAGGACTAAGTAGCCTTTCCCCCCAGGGTACACCACAGGGTGAAGGGGCTAATGTAAGAAATTTAGAATGCTACATATGTAGATAACATGAAGTGGCATCTACATGCACACAGCTGAAGCTAGTCAAGAAAAGAAATACTTCAGTCTGAATTATGAAAACGCATGTAAATGAACAAGAATAATTTCAGTTTTTTCATTTCATGAGAGCTGTGTAAGTATAAACATAAAAATTCATAAGGGTTATTTTAAATCTTGATTAATAAAAAGGAAATACTCTATTACTAAAAAAGAAAAGTATCAAACTAAATATGTTTCTTTTCCTAAATCTTACAGTTGGTTAAAAGCAACTTCTTTTCTTTTTTCCGAGTTGGAGTCTCACCCTGTTGCCCAGGCTGGAGTGCAGTGGTATACTCACGGCCAGTGCAGCCTTGACCTGCTGGGCTATGGCTATTCTTCTGCCTCAGGCTTCCAAGTAGCCAGAACTACAGGCGCGCGCTACCATGCCTGGTTAAATTTTTTAAATTTAGTGTACAGCTGCAGTCTTGCCAAGTTGCCCGGGATCGTCTCAAACCTGTGGGCTCAGGCAACCCATTTGCCTTGGTCTCCCAAAGTGCTGAGACTACAGGCTGAGCCACCAAGCCCAGCCAAAAGCAATTTCTTTTTTTTGAGTTGGAGTCTCACTCTGTCGCCCAGACTGAAGTGCAGTGGCCGCTTCCGGCCACCGCAGCCTCGACCTGCTGGGCTCCGG